TCTCCAGAGTACTGTGCCCACAAAATGCTTTGCTCCTTGTCGGGTTCCTTTGAGGGCCTGCACCTAGGCTTCTTTGTTTTTGCCTTCTAAAACAACCTGTTTCGGTATTTGGTAAAAAGTACGCCCAACACCTGCCACTCATTGGGGCTTCACCGCATTTTGATCTCCCAAGATAGCCAAAGATTAATACTTTGGAAAGAGTTGACCAGCAGATTGAACAAATTGGTCTGAAGAAAGTACCCTACACGTTGCAATCCCTTCTAAAAAAAACCTGTTCTCAGAGGAGAAACATACACAGATTTCAAGGAATTAAAGAATTAACGCTTGAATGAAAAGTTTTTTAAAGTAAAATTCGGATAAATTTGCCTACAAAAAGACCTATATTGTAAAACCAAAGGTAGCTTGTTGTTAGTCTCATACCGGACTATTTGATACGCCCAAGAGAAAAACAGGCTGAGAAGACTCCTGTGAAGGTTCTTGACAAAGTTTTACTCGGGAAGCTCAACTTAGAGCATGCAGTACAAATGTGACATAGCAGTAGAAATGTGACATATATCAAAAATTTTTTACGTTTACAGAGTGAAAAAAAGCAACTTTCAACATTCTTTGAGCTTGAACTCTATTCGGCATGCAGCTGAATGTGGCAAATACCATTCATTTTTCAGGTTTTAAAAGTGAAAATAGTCAAGTGTGATCATCACTCCCTATCTTGTACACTATTCAGCACGCAGCAGACCAACATCCTACATTTTTTTAGTTTAAAGAGTGAAAAAAGTCAACTTTGATCATTCTCTATCTTGTACTCTTTTCAGCACACAGCAGACACATGACAAACATTGTACATTTTTCAGGTTTAAAGGTGAAAATCGTCAAACTTGTGTGATCATTCTTTATCTCATACTCTCTTTCGGCACGCAGCAGAAATGTGACATATATCGTACATTTTTGGGGTTTTACTCTACCTCGGACTCTATTCGGCACACATCATCATAGATTCAGTTTCAGGTTTTAAGAGTGAAAATAGTCAACTTTGATCATTCTTTAACTCGTACGCTATTCGGCACACAGCAGAAATGTGACTTTCGTACATTTTTTGGTTTACAAAGTGAAAAAAGTCCAGTTTGGTCATTCTCTGTTTTGAACTCTACACGGTATGCAGCAAAAATCGGACATACATCGCTCATTATTTTAGGTTTCGAGACTGAAAATCATCAAGTTTGATCAATCTCCATCTTGTACTCGATTCAGCACGCGCGTAAATTGCCACAAATATTTTATCCTAGTAGGCCTGTTATAAATATTATTTCTGTATTATATAGCAACCTGTTTTGTAAAAGGCCTATTCTCATTAACAGAAATTAAATTTCAGAAATTCCTGTTTTCTATAACAAAAGTAACAAAAGTTGTAACTTTTTCACCCGTTGTCTTAGGCTTTTCCTTACTTATTCTCCAGAAGTCCATACGTTCTTAAGTCTTACAATTTTCTGCTTTGATGCATGCACTTTTGGATTTCCCCTTCTCAGCTTTGAGTTTATTATTATTTACCTTCAGAACACATAGAAGAAAACTTCATCAGCTAAAAAGTAGTGAGATCAGGTGCGGAATTTTGTACCCCTTCATTTAAAAGGCAAGATGAAATTCTGCCGGGTTACTGATTGAGGGTTGAATGATTGCGTGATTGGCCTTTTAAATGAGTCATTTTCCCCTTTCCTGTGTACCGACATTTCGCTTTTTTAAAGTCATGTGAAGTTCCCTATAAATTCGCATTAAAAGTTTACATAACCTGAAATCTGTACTTATTTTGCTTCACTTGTTTAGTACTACATATTCAGCGCAGCGACATAACAGAGAATGTGTGACAAATGAATTTAAAGCTCCTAACATTTAGCGAGGTTGAATGTCATTTTATATTCCAGACACACAAGAACATGCTATCTCAAATGTTCTATGACCAAATAATAGTATTTCGGAATGTTAAACGGGAACTTTATTTTACTCGAACAGGTAGATGAATAATTAAAACTTAATCGTTTGGCTTAAAAGAGTTTTCGTTTACACTGTAATTGTCAAGAATTAATTTAAAGTCCCTTTAAAAAGCTTTAAACTCATTTTAGACTAATTTTTATTGGATTCCAAGGTCAGAGCTTTGTCATTATGTTGTCATTGCGTCGATTCAGGTATTTCATAATTTGTCATAATTTATGCGTTGTACTCTTCTTGGCGCGGTACTCTATTCGGCACTTTACATGGCCCTTGGTCCGCGAGGTCCTTGGTCCATGACTTTTCCAAACATGATGAAATATTTCGTCCAGAAAAAAATACAGAAAAAATGAATGCATCCAATGAATTATAGATAAGACTTCTTTCAAATGGCGACGTCGCAGCTCTCCTGCTGTTGGTATCAAGTTTGTTGAAAGGTAGGTTAATTTGTCTTTCTTGAAGTTTGTACTTTTGTGGCACCGTAAATTACATGGTCATGTTTACTCGGCGTGTGAATAAATAACACGCAACGCGAAGGCGTGCCTTTTTCCAGGACAGGTTTTAAGATAAAACTTTTTCTTCCGTTGGAAGCAAATTTGCTAATTTTTTTGTTTTATAGACTCTTGAGAGATATCACCAAATTTCGCTTGGTGGTCCTTGGTCCACGACCCGTGCCTTTCGTGTAATTACATTTCACAAAATAAGTGACACCTTTTCATCGATAAAAGGAATGTGTTAGAAATATTCCTTACACATGTTTACAAGAACTGTTTTCTTAATATCTCGAACACATGCAGAGTTTTTAGTAATTTTTTTACCACACTGAGCATTAATTTATAGCATGACTGTATCAAGAATAAAAAAATACTAATACATGAGATATTGTGATGATTACGTTTTCGTAGGGAATTATCGTATTCTCACGTACTTTCACGAGTCGCGGACCAAGGACCATCGAGCACGGTCACCTTTTTTCGAATTACAAGCAAAATACTTAAGTTTGGAACTTGCCACTTCACGACTATCGAAAGGAACATAAAAGCTAGGTTCGGAGCGTATTTCAGCTCGTTCCGTTCTGATTCCGGTAAGATATTCAAGATAATTTTTAGTTGCGGACCAAGGACCACATACTGTACTCAATCCAATGCGGTGTCGACCAACTCAACATGCTCTAACGAGAAGGTGGACTGAGTAGTGGTCAATTTGATCCCTCCAGACCTGGTATAACAATTAACAGGGAAATCATCAACCAACGAGGGCAAAAAACATGTACCTATAAGAGTTATTCGTTGGAATGAAAGGTTCCTCCAGAAACGTGGCGAGTGGTATGCGCGAGTAAAGGAAGGCAATTTTTTTCGTGTTGTAAGGAAATGCATGTTGCACGAAACAAGCATTGGCGACGGAAAAAATAACAAAAGAGAAAAAGAACTTACATTTTACGTAATAAGAGGCCTCATCCACGGTATTTACTGGAGTGTTACCATCAGGGCGGAACCGCCACAAACTGCCTCCCCGCATCCCGCGAGCTACCGCAGTGAGCAAGCGCGAGAGATCACGTGATCAATTTTCTAATTTTGTTCGCAGGAAGGAAAGCGGAAGAGCCCGGAAAAGGAGCATACAAAAATTAGCTAGCTAAAATCAAAACGCTCACCTCCTTTAGTATAAGCGCCGCTCAAGTCACAATTCGATCAATTTAGTTCGGCACTGCAGTAGCACCACGTTTGAAACGGACCTTTTTAATCAAGGCTTCATCGCCCTTTTGTTCAGGTGTTTTGTTGATACACTCATCGATTACGACTGAGGTTGCTGGGAATAAAAAACAAAATTACCAGTCACACATAGAACATAAATGCCACAGACTGACAACGATGAAATAACTCACAAAACGGAAAAGACATAAAAGTAAACATGATCCTTGCAGATGAATGAACAACCTGGCTTTTGCAATGACCAGACGCAATGCTACAACCCCGGACAAAACCTGATGAGACAAATCGCGAAAATGCCTATTTTTTCCCATCATCCTAACAAAAACTGAAACCTCCGCCAAATGAATGCCCGATTTTCCCCCTCCCCTTATCAAAAGTTGTTTAGGATAGCATGGCAATTATACACGTTGGTTTTTAGAACAAGACAACTTTGACTAGGGGGTGGGAAGGGGGCTTACTTTTTCCGTTTAGAGGAGACAGGAGTAGGGCGCAAAAGTTAGAAAATAGATGGAATTGTCTGATAGTTTTGTCCGGGGTTGTAGCTCCATCTATAAATCAAGCCAACTGGAGATCGGAGCAGGCCATCAGCCATTGTGAGTTCGTAATATATCCGGTGATGGAAATGAAACGAAGTGGAGTATATGAAATGAATGCATATTTTGAACTGCGGAAGAAGATATGGATATGAAATTGAACATGATCCTCGCAGTTAAATAAACAACAAATACGAAACTGAAAAAATTCTGGTTTGACCGGTCAACATGTTCACTTTCATAAGCTTATCTTTATCCGCAGTTCAAAAAATGATTCATTTCATATATTTCAAAATCAAAAAGAAACTAGGCAAAGATACTTACAAACGTTGTGTGACCTTGAACACGTCAGACGAAAAAGCATGGTAGAAAATCGTAACGAAAAACTGAGATGATAACTCTAAGAATTCTAAAGCGAAATGACGCAAAATTACCGACGAACTTACAAAATTACTCTAGAAACAAAGAAAATTATGCAGAAAAATCTAACAGAATATTAATCGCGAAAACTGAAAAGACTGGAAAGAATGTGGAAACTAAACAAAGAACGAACGCAGTGAAACATACCATGCGACACGAAATTTTTGCGTGTTTTAATTTTTGCGATTTTCGGCATATGTTCGCGTCAAAAAAAGTACCGGAAACACTTTACAAAATCTTGGGTAACCTGTGCTCATGACCTAGCGCCTGGTAGATTTCTTTCAATGTTTGGAGTTACTGGGGTCTTGTGATCTGTCAAACTTTGAAGTTGTCATAATCTTGTCGTAGGATAAAAGCTATGCAACGTTCGTTCTTCCCACCGTGTTTTTCCTTGTTTTTTTTGCTCAACATCTTGCTCATTATGGGAACATCGAGTAATCATGTTTATGTAAGCTTAAATGAAACCGATCGGGATGGTGTGAGTGAGATGTTCAAGGAATTCGTCGAAGTACATAACAGGACATATGTCAATGATCCAGAGGAATACGGCAGAAGACTGAATATTTTTAAGGTAATGTACTCTAAAGTTAAAAAAAAAACAGCGGAGCTGAAGATCTTGACTTCGGGAAAACTGTGTAATACGCGCGAAATTATTTTACATATGACGTCATGATAAATTATGCTCACAACAGATAGTGAAATAAATAATTACCGAATTCCAAAAACTCTCACTTTAAACGAGTGCTAAACCTTAATTGTAAAAACGAGTTTCATTTGTGTAGGAATAAAAATTCATTTACAAATCAATGGCTTTGCACCATTTGCTCATCTTTTAAAGAAAGGCTTGGAGCAACTCGGAATTGGCCCATTGCTTGTGACATCACCTGGGTCAGGTTGCAAAAAACATCTTAAGGGAACTCGCAACTATTATTTCCAAACAATAGGTTATTGTTCCAGAACAAAAGTTAAGCACTCTTTTATTTTGAGAAGGTTTTATGCAACCTGGCCCTGACTCTTAATCATTCCTTCCACTTGAGTTGCTGCGCTGACACTGATCAAAAAAATTAAATGAATGGTTAAAAAATTATTAACAATGTCCCTGGGTCTCTTAGGTTGCAATTTTGTGCTTTCTTTACCGTGAGCAAAATTATTTTGTCATTTATTTCTTAATAACTGTATGTTTGATTGATGCAAGGTGGTGTACGTGACAAAAACAAATTTACCTCACAGGAAAGGTTGCTAATGTGGATGGGAGAGGTGGTAGAAATAAAAAAGGCCCATTTACAATAAATTATACTAGTCAAGTCTTTTCCCTTCTAGTTGCTGATTTAGATTAAACTTTCCTTGTCTTTATAGAAAAGTCTTGCAAGACATGCTAAATTAAATGCAAGAGAGAAGGAACTCAAAGGGACAGCTGTTTATGGTGTAAATCAATTTTCAGATTGGACTCCTCAAGAATTTAGAGGTAATTTCCATCAATTTTGGTAACAAATAAATTTAGTATAAAGACCTATTGTTTGTGGTCATGTTAAGAAACAAAGTCGACCAGAAAAGGATTTAAACTTAGAGAGGTTTAAATAAAGAAATGTGTTCATGTGAGCAGGATAGAATAAACCTAAAATTAAAAAATAGCATAATGGGTGGCTCTTCTAGCCCCAAACTATCTGACAGCTCTTCACCTGGCATCTGGGATACCTTTAGTGGCCTTTTTGGTTGTAGAGAAGTGGCCATTGTAGAGAGGTTAAACTGTAGAGTGAAGAAGCCATTGTAGAGAGGTGGCCATATTAGAGACAAAGCCATTATAGAGATTTGGCCATTGTAGAGAGGTGGCTGTAGTAGATAGAAGGCCATTNTTTATAGAAAAGTCTTGCAAGACATGCTAAATTAAATGCAAGAGAGAAGGAACTCAAAGGGACAGCTGTTTATGGTGTAAATCAATTTTCAGATTGGACTCCTCAAGAATTTAGAGGTAATTTCCATCAATTTTGGTAACAAATAAATTTAGTATAAAGACCTATTGTTTGTGGTCATGTTAAGAAACAAAGTCGACCAGAAAAGGATTTAAACTTAGAGAGGTTTAAATAAAGAAATGTGTTCATGTGAGCAGGATAGAATAAACCTAAAATTAAAAAATAGCATAATGGGTGGCTCTTCTAGCCCCAAACTATCTGACAGCTCTTCACCTGGCATCTGGGATACCTTTAGTGGCCTTTTTGGTTGTAGAGAAGTGGCCATTGTAGAGAGGTTAAACTGTAGAGTGAAGAAGCCATTGTAGAGAGGTGGCCATATTAGAGACAAAGCCATTATAGAGATTTGGCCATTGTAGAGAGGTGGCTGTAGTAGATAGAAGGCCATTGTACAGACAATTGGCTTTTGTAGAGTATAGTATCCATTGCAGAGAGAGGTGGCCATTGTAGAGAGGTTAAACTGTAGAGTGAAGAAGCCATTGTAGAGAGGTGGCCATTATTAGAGACAAAGCCATTATAGAAATTTGGCCATTGTAGAGAGGTGGCTGTAGTAGATAGATGGCCATTGTACAGACAATTGGCTTTTGTAGAGTAGTATCCATTGTAGAGAGAGGTGGCCATTGTAAAGAGCTGGTCATTGTAGAGAGATGGCCACTTTAGATAGGAGGCCATTGCTGTTGTATAGAAGTGTTTATTGTACAGACGTGACTGTTGTCAAAAAAATCGCCTTTGTGGGGAGGTTATTGTTATTGGAATTTTGGCTGTAGACCACCTTCTGAGCTTCTTATGTCTTTCAAAACATTTAAAGAAATCATCCTAATTCTGCACATAATAATGATAATTTTATATCAATAATTGACCACCAATGATCTTCTCTTGTAGAATTTCTTAGAAGAGGCAGTAGGAATGATCTTGGTCTCAAACTGACAAACACCCTTCAGAATACTGTACCAGATTGCTTGAAACATACCTGTGTGAGCCTCAAACTAAATGCCTCTGCTATACCAAATAGGCAAGACTGGTATGTGTGTCAGATTGTTTAAATCACCATACAATCAGAGAGACAAAACTCAGGCTGGATCAACACCTAAACACCAATGAATGACTACGGTGCCCATAACTGAACCAACCCCCCTAACCCTTCTAATATGGCTACTATGTGGAGATCTTGATCTGGTCCATACATGTAACATACATATAACTTTATTTAAACTCAGTTTTAGAATAGCTCCTGCTAGAGAGAGCTAATATCTCCGAGTATAGTGATATTTTAGAAATGCAACAAAATTGATAAAGTATGAAAGTATGAAATTGCTACACATGTGCATATTGTTAGTCACGTCTTACAAAAAAAAATCTACACAGTAATATTATGAGTAGTGCTCTTAAAAGCAATGAGAGATTCAGAAGTTATTATGTTATCAGGCAGCGTATTCCATACTTGAGGAACACTATATCTGAACCATTGTAATCCATAGGAGGTTGTAGTAACTCTTGGTAGATCCAATTTTAGGGTACCTCTGAGGTTTTACGCTGTTGTTCGTCCAGGTTCTGTACTTGTCCTTACCCTTTTGCTGCTAATAGTGGCCAAAATAAAAATGTTAAAAAAAAATCCACATTTTTTCCTTCAAAATCTCAGAATTTAAATAGTGCAATGCAAATGTTTTGCCCAGGGGGGGGGGGTATATAAATCAGAGCGTTTGGGTCTAGAATAGGGTATCATTTTTCAAGAAACTGATCACTGATCAGTTGGTTGAAGATTTTATCTTGCCTAGGGAAACAGCTACTCTAGGATAGGGGGGATTTGAGTTTACTCTAGTATAGGGAACTAGCTCTGTTATAGGTTGAGGGTTCCAGGGTCTCAGCGGCACATCCCCCCCAGAAATTCCTAGAGTACCCCCCCAGGATGTTTTGCCAAAGAGGGTTCTCTTAAATGGTAATAATAACACCATAGGATTTCTTCCACAGATGCAAGAGTTAGGTATATGTAGAATAGTATTTGATAGATAGTTTTGTTTTTTCTTTGTTCAGGAATAAAAAGGGAAAAGTTACGGCTGTGAAGAATCAAGGACAGGTAGATTAATAAAGATACTATCTTTGAGTGTTTATTTAAAACAGTTACCACAACAAAACAAAAAAAGCAAATGTAGTAGTTTAGACTCCCCCAATATTTAATATGCAACACTGAGTCTTTGATTTGCTCTTTTGTTGTGCAAATTCATTTCCTGGCATTACGATCACCGTTATAATATTATAATAATTAGAAATTTGTACTCAGTATCTGTCTTCTTGTAGGTTAAGAGTCTTAAGTTAGTTTTGGAAATAAGCGCACCATACAATTAAGTTCATGATATACATCCTTTATCAACTAGGTCCACTAAGTACATTGACCACTGAGATGTAAGATTGTAGTGGTGGTCTCCTTAGTTATGGTGGGTAGCAAATTAATCATTGGTCCATTATTAATTTTTGATTCTACATGATTTTGTTTTTCATTTCTTGATCTATTTCTTGTCTTTGACAGTGTGGAAGCTGCTGGTATGTGCAGACAATTTGTTTATTTTACTTGAAGAAATGTTGTTGTTTTATTTAATACTGTTGTGGTAGTTGCACTCACTTATTCTCACAACTGGATTTTTGCTTGTAGCTGTCAGATTTGTTATTGGTAAAATTGATGTCTGACTGAGGTTAACTCATGTACAACTTAACAGCTGTAAAAACGATTTACATTATTGTAATCAGAGGTCTTTCCAATAGATGGAAAGGAAAAGTGTGTTACAAGATACTTTTTGTTTTGAAAGTTGGTCATAGGTTCAATTCTTGTCAGTCAACTCAGATTTCTCTTTTCTGAGTCATCTCTGCTACTGATAAGACAAACATCAATCTTTGATTTACCAGACTTACAAATTCACTGTAACATTTATTCATTTTTGTCCATCAACATTCCACTCCTATGACATCCAGGACATTTGCATCTAATCACCGTCTTATGGCCTAAGTTCCCATGAGTCTCCTGTAGCTCAGTTGTTGAGCATCTGAACCCAGGGGGTGGGCCAGAAACCAGAAGCAGGGGCAGATCCAGGAGTTTTTGATTTGATGGGGGTTGGGGGGGGGGGGGGGGG